TGCCCGATCCCTTTCGGTATTCCTTTCCTTCTTTCTTTTTCTTCCGTTTTTCTAACTATTACGCGTCTAGTGCCACGTGTTTAGTAGATCGAAGTATACGAGGTGAAATCCGAGAGGAGGAAGATCGAAGATTGAAGAATCGAGGAGTAGCACACGAGCCGAAGCCGCACGCATCCCCACGCACCGCCTGAAGACCGCGCGTGAGTCACACTCGCCGCCGTGGCTCGTATTGCCGCTGGTCCGCCGCTGCTGTCACCCCCCGGATTGTACGGATTGGCAAGAGGTAAACCTTCGAATCAATTGTCGATAGATTCGATTAAGTTTAAATTGGATATGTATGTTCGTTATTGTATGATTTTATGTGATTACATGAAATCGTTTTATTTATTGCAAGCATGTTATTTGATTTAAACGCGAGCATGCTAGTTGATTTAATTTCGATTAAGTAATTAAGCATGTATGTCGTTTTTAATTTCGCTGGAAGCGCAAAGGTACGCAATTAATTGATTTCAATTATCGGGCATGTGTTTATGTGTTTTAAATTTGTTTAAATCGCATAAAATTTTTGTTTTCCGCTGCGTACTTGTGTCCGATTCCCAACAAAATCGTCTACAATGTTACTTATAAATGAGCGTTGGGCAGAGAAGATGGCTTTAGAGCGCGAAAAAATGATTCAACGCGAGAGGCATATAACATCGAATGAAAATGTAAAACGCATAGAAGAAGAGCGAGTCGATAACGAAACTATGTTGAAAGACACTACTGGAATGGGGGAAACTGAAGCAGCTTAATGGAATTGTAAGAAAAATAACGTATTGAGAAAGAATGGTATAATATAATTAATTTACTTCTGATAATAATGCTATTGTGCTATTTCTTACAAAATAATGCTACTGTGCCATTTTTAATAAGAGACTACTTAGGATTATTTTTTTCATTTATTTATGAAATTTTGTGTTTGTCTTTCATTGCATGGTTTCACCATATTGCTATGACAAAAGAAATGAAATTTTATTTAAAAAAACCATTTGCACACCTTTATTCTTACATATGCAAAATGCAAATAGCATACCACCGGCTTTATTTAAATAATAGAAAGAAAATGCCAAGTACTAATTTATGAAATGCAATGTAAAAATAAAGTAAAAAAGCATGATCGTTGTATAATGTAAACTTAGAATGATCTTGACCGTGTAAATTCCATAAATGCTCAACAAGGTTGTGCTGGAGTTGAGAATCAATAGTACGATCTCGTATTTGATGATGAGTCTGAATAAATTCCATAAACTCATTTGCGCCCTCACGTGAATGTTGTACATTTGGATTTAAGTCATCAAAATCAATAGTACCCGGGCCATTTTCATCTTCGATAACCATGTTATGCATTACAATACATGCTTTCATTATATAAGATAATGTCTCCTATCCCAGAACCTTGCTGGTCCACGCACAATATTAAAACGTGCTTGTAGTACCCCGAAAGCTCGTTCTACATCCTTTCTAGCAGATTCCTGGGACTGTGCGAAATATTTGGCTTTTAAGCCTATTGGAGATGCTATTTGTTTTACAAAAGTAGCCCACGAAGGATAAATGCCATCGGCTAGATAATAACCCATCGAATAACCATTCCCATTTATTGTAAAATTAACAGGGGGACTATGGCCATTGGCTAATTCTAAAAAGACGGGAGATCTTTCTGGAACATTAATATCAATGAGCGATCCCGGCACTCCAAAAAAAGCATGTCATATCCAAAGATCATGCGAAGCAACGACCTCTAATATAATAGTTGGTGTGCGACAATGACCGGTATACATACCTTGCCATGCTGTTGGACAATTTTTCCATTTCCAGTGCATGCAATCGATGCTCCCAAGCATCCCTGGAAATCCACGTTGCTCATTGACTTGCAATAATCGAGATAAATTGCCCTGATTTTAGGGGTGAGAACGGTTCGGTTCGGTTTTAGGCACAAACCGGAACCAGATTCGAAGTGTTCGGTTCCTAAAGAACAAAAAACCAAACGGATCGGTTCCTTGCGGTTCGGTTCCGGTCGGTTCCGGTTCGGTTTCGGTTCGGTTTCGGTTTCTTCTCGGTTTATAAAATTCTCGGTTCGGTTTCAATAATGATTCGGTTTTCGCTTCGGTTTTGGGCTCATTATGGCCCGAAAATCAGCCCAAAAACGTCAATAAATCAACTCAAAATTCAGAAATAAAAAATCAATAAAAAACAAGCCCAAATGTAGGCCCACAAGCCCAAATGTAGGCCCAAAACAGGCCCAAAAATCAATGAAATTCATTCAAGTAAAAAAAATATATATATTTAATGAAACGACGTAGTATTGATGTCGGTTCGGTTCCTCGGTTCGGTTTCCAACTTGGAAAACCGAATATGAACCGAAATTTTTGGTTCACATAAAATTGAAAACCGAGTATGCGGTTTATGCTTCGGTTCGGTGCAATTCGGTCCAGTTTTGTCGGTTTTCGGTTTGGTTCCTCGGTTCCTCGGTTTTTTTTTTCTCACCCCTACCTGATTTGGTGCTCTTAAGTATTTTTCGCTGAAAATGGCATCAATCACTTTCACAAAATGTCGTAAACTTTCAATAGAAGTACTCTCACCTATGCGTATGTGGTCATCCAAAAGATCGGCAATAACTCCATATGCGAGTATTCTATATGCAACAATTACTTTATGAAGAGATGATAAACCAGGAACGCCTGTAGCATCATTTCTTTGAACAAAATAGGGATCGTAGGCCTCAACGCCAGAAAGAATCCGAGAGAAAAGGGGTCGGCACATACGAAATCGTGTCCTAAAATAACATGCATGATATGTAGGATTATCAGAAAAATAATCACAATACAGTCTTTGTGACCTTCGGCTCTGTCACGATTGACTACGCTTCGACCCGGAACTGACCCGCGGTAGTGCTATGTTGTCTTTCTCTCTCCAATTTCTCCTCTTCCGCAACCGTTAACAACATTTCAAGATCATTGGAATCCGAGTCGGATAAGAAATTCATTAAATTAATGTGACCATGCATGATGAAATGAAGAAATACAAGATAATGGAGTTTTGAAACAAGTGATGTAGTCGAGGATTTACATCACAAACATGTTATTATATATCATGTAGAGGCAAAAAAATAGAATCAATGTAACCAAAAATTATGAAGATATGGATTGAAGAAATCAAACTAAGACTTTGTCATAAATTATTTAATTTATACGTAATAATATTTTTGGTACAATTCATTCAAAGTATTGCAGATTTGTGGAGATTTGGATTGTTCAATTCTAAATCTCATTTGTGGTATACACACATGCACATGATAAAACCTTTTTTTTTTCTTCTGTTTGCAAAGGTAAAATCTTGATTAATATTGATTTTGATGAAATTTTACCATAAAAATCGGTTTGTATAGTTATTTAAAATGGATTACAAAATAAATAATATATAAATAATCATAAATTTGTTTGATAATTGTTTTTTGATACTTATGGTTGGAGTTCACTAGTTGTATAGAGATATCAAAATATAATCCTGATTATCAAATGATAACCTCATTTGATAACAATGGGTTGGAGTTGCTCTTAGGTTCTTTAACAATAACAGTTAACATAAAATAAAATAAAGCATAAACTCATTTTTTTTTTATTAAAATCCAAACTTTTATTTTGAAAAAAAAAAAACGGTTTTGACCGATTTTTTGCCGAATTTTGCAACCGAAGTTTGAACCGCCTCCGCCTAGGAGACCGATTAATTGGCCACCTCGATCGATTATATATATATATATATATATATATATATATATATATATATATATATATATATATATATATATATATCAATTAATGAAATAAAAGTGAAGAGTAACACACTTACACAATACACACTTCAATGGATACAATTAAAATAATGCACATGGCCCACATTTACCTCCCCAAACATCTCCTTACCGTGAGGAATAAAATAAGAAGTCTTAGCTGAGGTGGCATTTTTTAGGAAGAAAAATAAGTCTACCGGATCACAATAAATTCCTATATGTTTTGGAATCTGACAAAAAAATAAATTGGTACTCCACTACAGATGCTCTGACGGACCGATCGGTCTCAACGTAGTCCCTAAGAAGAAAAAAGAATGTTATACACGGTGGATGAATTTTCTAGTTATACTCTTCATTGAATTATCGGTCATTGCTTTGACAGTCGGAGGGAAATCGTCAACGAGACAACGTCTAAGCTCTAGCAATTCACTGAGCTTGGTGTCTAAGCTGTTAGTGTTAGGTTGCCGCATGAAATTCTTCAAGGCACGTGGATTTCTACCAGATATCTGAGTTATCATATGACGTCTATATGAGTAGTCATGTTTACCTGCTAGACTAACATGGCGACTACTCAAATTACATGTTAATTTAAATAAACAAAATTCTCCTTAATATACATATTATCCCCGCAACTAGGGATGATAATGGGAACGAATGTTCAATTTCGCCGATTTCAATTGAATGTTTTCAATTTTTGGAACAATATTTTTCACTCCTTTTCGGAAAATTCCAATTTTCGATTCTTCCATTTGTTTTGATTGGAAACGGAATAAATGCGAGTCCGGTTTTCTTGATCCGATTTTAATTTCAGAAAATAATTTTGAATTTCATTTTATTTGTTACAAAAATTACATTGATTCGTAAATAATATTATATATTTTATACTTAGGTGACTAAAAAAATTGATATTTTTTCGAATTCTCCTGATGTTGATCTATGTTTTTTTTTGCACAAGTTTTTCATTCCTATTTTTGAAATTTCGATATCCGGTTTTTGGTGGAACGAAATGGAACTAATTTTTGTTTTATTGTAAAAAGCTCGATTATTTTTCCCTCCAAAGTACCAATTCCGATCCGATCCGATCCGGCCATTTCCGCTGTACCTATATAACAATGATTAAGAGCAATGAGTTTTCATAGGATTCTTTAGCAACAACATTGAAGTTGTAAATGTAGAAAAAGGTCCAAGTCAAGTAACGGCTCTATTTCCCATAACTTATTAAGTCGGCCGAAAGGAATGGGCCTTCTTTCCTACAGATGCCACGTCATAATAACATATTCTATTAAATAAAATAAAATAATTAAATAAAAGGGAATAATTTCCTTGTATTCGACCGTTGTGCTCACAACCCTGTCTCTCTCTCTCTCTCACACACACACACAGTCACGACGCTCTTCCTTTTAGTCGGAGGTTACAAAAGCGAACAAGGAATTGGAGAAAAAAAATGACGACAGTGGGAAGCGCCGCCAGCAGCCAGTGGAAGAAGGCCGTCAAGATGGGACTCGCTCTCTTCCGCCGTGGCTTCAATCCTTCCAAATGGTACCACCACCCATTCTTCTCGATTATTTAATCATTCATTCATTCTCTCTGTCTAGTTCTGTTAATTTGTGTGTGTGTGTGTGTGTGTGTTATTGTGTGTGTGTGAAGCAAAACAATGGCGAAAATGACGGTGGCGAGAGTGAAACTGCTGAGGAACAAGAGAGATGTGGTGATAAAGCAAATGAGGCGTGACATTGCTATGCTCCTTGAGTCTGGTCAAGATGCCACTGCTCGTATTCGGGTACCCTTTTTACTTACATTATTACCTCTTCTCAATTTGATTTATTTATTATTGTTTGGAGAATTGATTTTGTAATTCAAACCCTTGAATTAGGGCTTTAATTGACGTTTCAAGAGTCGAATTTGCCCTGCTTAGGTTAATTATACATAAAAAAAGAAAAATCTAGGATTGGCTACAAATTTAGGGTTTCGAAAAAAAAATGAGTAGGAAATTTTCTGTATAAATATTAAAATGACAGTCTTCGTTATTAAGTAATAACTCAATCTCCATTTGTTGTGTTGTCATTATTAGTTTTGAGTTTGATCATCTATTCGTATTCGTCTGAGGTTGGATGTACATTTCTTACGGAATGGACCCAAGTTTCGTTTTTTCTCTCTCGAGACTCGAAAAGGAACTTAAGGGTTAAGTTTCATAGCATAGCAGTTGAAAAGTTAAGTGTTGGCCGGCCCGAAAAGTTTATGCACTAACCCGAAAATCAAATAAGACCTCATTATTTAGTAAATCATGACTTATCTAACAAACCAAATGAATATTTATGTTAAACTGTATGCGCGTTACCAAAGCATCGTGCTTACGTTATGCTTTCATGGATGGTGGTGTAGGTTGAACATGTGATAAGAGAACAGAATATAATGGCTGCAAATGAGTTAATCGAGCTTTTCTGTGAGCTTGTTGTCGCCAGGCTTTCTATCATTGCAAAGCAGAGGTGTGTGTTCTTGTTCTGCATATAAACCTATGAATGTTCGTTTATTATGTACTCGTCAGTGTTAAGTGTATGATGAATAAGCATGATTGGTCTTTGTTTGTTTCGACTTGTTTTTTGTTACAGGGAATGCCCAGCTGACCTTAAAGAAGGGATATCGAGTTTAATATTTGCAGGCCCACGATGCTCAGATATTCCGGAGCTGTTATCCATTCGAGATGTTTTCCAGAAGAAGTACGGCAAAGATTTCGTATCTGCAGCCACTGATCTACGACCCAATGCCGGTGTCAATCGCATGGTATATTATATATATAATTTTGAAATTTTGAATTTTGAAATAGATCGAGTGAAACACTAGAAAAATTAACTTGAGTGGGTTGCTTTTTTATCTTGCTGCAGCTTATTGAGAAGCTCTCTGTTAAGACACCGTCGGGTGAAGTAAAAATGAAAGTTCTGAAGGAAATAGCAAAGGAATATCAGGTCCAGTGGGATGTCACAGAATCCGAGGTGGAGCTTTTGAAGCCACCGGAAGAGCGTATTGTATTCTCTCTCTCTCTCTCTCTCTCTCTCTCTCTCTCTCTCTCTCTCTCTCTCTCTCTCTCTCTCTCTCTCTCTCACACACACACACACACACACATACACACACACACACATTCTTACATAGACATAGGTTATGCCAACAATGCACTTGAGTCTCCGTTGCTTATTCCCTTCCATTTTTTCTTTCTGTAGGAAGGGCCAAACAATTTTGTGAGTGCTACAAGTTTACCTGTAAAACAAGTTCCGTGGCAACCTCCAGAGCCAAATATGCCAAATATTGCTGCATCAAACAGGTAATTACTCGATTGCGCATTTAACCATTAAATTCATATCTTATTTGTACCCAAAAAAAGAAAATAAATAAATAATCATATTGTTGAACAGAGGAGAAGCCAATATGACGAATTTTCAAGAGCTGGCATCAGCTGCCGGTGTCGCCGCTGAGAAAGCACTTGCCGCTGCTGAAGCTGCCGCCCACTTGGCTTCTTCTTACCAGTCTGCAAATAATAACATTAGTTTGCCTAAAAATTCTCAAGCTGAATACGATGATCATCAGAGGATAAATCCTTCTTCCGAATACTCTGATCATGGTAGAAAGATGCATAGAAGACAGAGCTATAACTGTCAGAGAGCGCACACAAATATCAAATTCGACGAATCATCGGACTACGACGAAGAAATCGAGATGGAAGTGCCACCACCACCGCCACCGCAGAGGCAGAGTGAAGCTAGGAAAATCAATAGAAGGCATAGCTACAATAATGCACCTCAATACGATGAATCTGACTCTGATGATGATGATGATTACTCAGAGGTGGGCCCACATAGAGGAGCAGCAGGGACCAATAGAGCTGCGCCAGATCGTCCAGCGCCGCAAGTTCCGGATAGACGTGTTCATCCAAAATTGCCTGATTACGATGCACTGGCTGCTCGTTTTGAAGCTCTCAAACATCACAAGACTCAATCCAAGTAGTCGATTTTTTTTTTCTTTTGATATGATATTTTTTGGACTTTGGTCAGTTGGTGTGCACTTGAACTTGTGTGTTCCTTTTTTTATTTTATTTTATTTATTTATTTAATATAGTATATAAATCATGTAGGTTATAATGGTGTGTCCATATATATATGTATCAGATGGTGGGAAAATTTTCAGGCAGTTTATAGTTCCCTTTCTTTATGCAATGTAATGTAATAATATTTTGTTTTATTCATTGATGTCAGATGGTCCTTTTTAATTGTGAAAAGTGTGAAAATTAGTAGTGGTTTTGAATGAAGAGTAAAACAGGTAGGTGTTTGCAAAAGCTTTTTAGAAACTGATTATGAGTTTTTTTTTTTTTTTTTTTGGTTTCATAATCAGTTTTTGATTATTTTTAAAACTATTTTTGGTTTTTACCTCTCTTAAAATTAGTTGGTATAACCAACCCTTATTAAGAGAGCTGATATCTAGCCTTACCAATAGGGTAAACGGTTTAGGGTTCGAGTCCCCCCTCCCCACTACTTCCCCTTGTAATGACTTGAATTACTTAATAATAAAAATAAAGATAAAAAGTTGGTTTTAAGCTATATGATTTCAAAAGTTTTTCTAGTTTACAAACACATTTATAAATAGGGAAAATAAGCTAGAAGTCCCTCAAAAATATTCTTTATAGCAGTAAAGACAGACGCGCAGTAAGGACAAACGTATAGATGTTTCCCACAACATATGCACAATGATTTGCACACCTTAGTTGCACATCTTAGTCATATTAATAAGCAACGACTTTGTTAAAATATAGCAACGAGAAAACTAAAACAAGAATAGACGTTTCCCTCCCACAATATATACACAACTTACACGGACAGCTTAGTTACACAGTTTAGACAGCTAAGTTACACAACTAAAACAAGTTGTTAGTATATCTTAGTTACACAGCTTAGTTAAATACGCTGAAGGAAAAAAAAATCAAATCTCTTATTCGTACATCACCACCAACATTACCATCACCATCACCATTACCTAACAAAAGTTCATATATTTTCGGTTTGATTTCTATGATTATTAGGTTACCGAAATGAATTAGTGTACCAAAATCATATGTGTGTGGTTGCGTATGTGCGTATGTAGGTGTTTGGTTATGTGTGCGTGCATGCGTGGTTGTATGGCAAAACTTTTCAACAATGGCAGCGACTAGAGTAGGATTGGAGCAGATTTAATGGAGCGTAACAGGGATAGACGAGATCTGATACAGAACATCTAGGATTGAAGCGATGAAGAAAGTTGTGAAGAATATAGGAGTTTTAACAAATTGCAAAATGTTGATTGCCCTGATCTGAAAGAAAATTAAAGCTAGAAGTGTTTAGCAAATTGCCCCTTATAAATAACTCCCAATACTATTTTGCATTTTTTCCATTTTTATTTTCTTCAAATTTTTTTATAGTGATATTTTAGATGTTTCATCAAAATAAGCTTAAAGTGAAAGTTTGTTTACAAACACCTACATGACTTCTAAATTGACCGCTTAAAGTTGATTAATTAAGGGATTTTCACAAATCCTGGACTTTGGAAATAAATATTTATTTTTAACTTTACTTAAAGTCACCAACTTGTACTTTTACAAAAGCTTTTGCAAACACCTTAGAGCAACTCCAAGAGTGACGTGCAAACCTATTTTTTGCATTTTTTTACGTAATTTTAACTCAAAAATAGAGCTCCAACAGCAAAATGAGAAAATGCAAAACTTGTTCAATTTTAATTTTGGTTTCTCCAATCTGAGAAACCAAAGTTACCATTTAACAAATTGTAAAGATAAAAAAATAATAATAAATTTACCAATTGATGGGTATTGGTAATTTTGGTTTCTCCTAGCATTCAGGAGAAATTGAACAAAATAAAGTTGAAGTCCTTGGATTTTGAGTGCCATAATGCTGCTCAAGGACTATGAGGGTCAGTTTTGGCTTGAAATCATGGGTGGTGGACTTCAAGAAAAAATCTTGTAGTTGTAGAGAATGAGATTTCACCGGCATCCCTTGTGCACATTCAACTTGTGCAATTCTTCAAGAGAAAAATATACCTTAAGACTTTGTGAGCCTATATTATAGAGTGGACATGTACAAAAGGGCTTGCAATCACATCATTCATAATGTCCCAGATCATTCACAGTGGGACCCCCCATCAGCACAAGAACAAGAGTTACCTTTGATGCCTCATCCATTCAAAAAGAGAACTGGAAGACCAAAGAAGATAAGGATGAAAGGAGTAAATGAAGTCGATGTGAGTGAAAATGTGACAAGACAATGGATTCTTATTACTTGTTCCAATTGTGGCAGTAACACTCATAATAAAAGGAGGTACAATATGCCTCCCCAGTCAAGGCCGCAACAATCAAGAACTGCAGAAAATGTTAGTACTTTCCTTGTTTTGTATTCATCTTACTTAATTGTATCTTAGTGATCTAATACATAATTTTTTTTTTGCAGACACTAGCAAATCGACCTATAAGGCAAAAAAAAGTAAGTACTTTCATTTGTTGCTATTGTTTCTTAATGTTGTGTAACTATACTAATTAAATACTACTTCTCTTCTTTGCAGGTACCTGCAAATCAACCTAGAGGACAATCCAATGTTTGAACTTTCTTTATTTATAATACTGTTATTTAATTGAAATATAATTATGCTAATATTTAATTCTTCTCTTTGCAAGTAGCTGAAAGTCAATCAAAAGAAGCTTCACAAAATGTTGGAACTTCAACCAATGGTTGAAATTCACAACAAACTTGGCCAACACAAGCATCCCATGCAACTGCTTCGACTTGTAAAGGAAAAAGGAATAGTAGAGTCAAGAATGCGAATTCAAATGTCCCTGCACCAGTCCCTGCCCCAGTCACTTCCCATGCGCCCCCAATGTTGGAACTTCAACCAATGGTGGGAATTCACAGCAAATTTGGTCAACACAAACATCCCATGCAATTGCTTCAAATTCTAAGGGAAAAAGGAATAGCATAGTCAAGAATGTCAATTCAAATGTCCCTACACAAGCCCCTACCCCAGTCACTGCCCATGCGCCCTCAACGCCTCTGCCCCTACAAAAACACCTACTCATGCTGCAAATACACAAAAAAAAAAAAAAAAAAAAGGGGGGAAGATCTACATCAGTGTAGCATGGATTTGGAAATTGGAATGGAGTGGGCATGTTCAACCAATTTAGACCTCCAGTTCAGGTATTGTAAAACTCAATATTTTTGTGTTTTATTATTATTTTTTTTCTTAAACTGATTTTAAATTCATTACAAATTGAGGTAAATAATAGGTCTCGAATTCAAATCAACAATAGCACAGATGGTGGAAAAATTGAGGTAAATCATTGAGTATTAATTTTCACCTTAATTTAGTTGTTTGTATTGTTTATAAGTATTAATTTTGCTATAAATTATTGTTAAATCATGCAGATGTATGTGCATAGCACAAGGTATGGAAATGTGAGATTCTCAATCAACCATCAAGGTCAAAAAGATACACTATGCTCACAGAGTTGATGGGGAATCTTGATGAAGTGCAATTGAGATTTGTGGTATTTCTTGCTTTATTTAAGATATTTTGTGCTCTTTAAGATTTGTGGTATTTGTTTCTTTATTTAAAACAATTTGGTATTTGTTGGTGAATTTAGCATATTCTATGCTTTTATGTAAGACTGATTCTCTGTACTTTTGGAATGTTGATTTATGATGATGAGCTTGGCAAATTTCATATTTCATTACTGTAAGAATAGAGGGATGACTTTCTCATTTTTTGAGCTCTTTGCCACACAGTTACATAGGAATATGAAGCATATAAGTACTACACATATTTTTACTACTCTCAACGACTTATTGTACATAGACACATCACATTCTAATTTTTGGTTTTTGTCTTTAAACTGCTTTAACTTCAACTTCATTTCCTTGTTGGCTCTTTCCATATTTAGAGCTATTTCATGAAATTCTTGATTTTGAGCTTTCAGTTCTTTTTTCTGTGTCTCCACTATCTTCATCTTTTCTTTATTTTGCTCCAAGAGTCTCTCAAATCCTTGTCCAATTTCCATTCCTTTGTGGCAAATTTCAGGCTCAATCCATTGAAAAAATTTGCAACCATTTGGTTTATGTTATATATGTACAATTTATATCCAAATATGCATTCATTAGTAACATTGAATTCAAATGAATGTAAAACATACTTACATCCCAATTTAGGCACCCTGCAAATTTTCTTTCGGGATTTTGACTTGTCCAAGCAGTTCGAATGGCAGCTGTTTTTTTGGCATTTGCATGTTGTTTGTGGAAATCTAGCCACATAGGACCTGGATTTGGAACATAAAATACCAGAATCTCGTGCGTTTGTGCTACTGCTAAACATTTTCCCTTATTATAGAATATGAAATTATTTTTTTGTAACTAATAAAAGTTAAAAATTATGTATAAAAAATAGAATTTCGAGTTAAATAACAAAATAAAAAACATTGTCATGAAAATTTAAATGGAATTTGCACAAATACACAAATTCAAATGAAATTATTTTCTGCAAATAAACGGAATTTGCACAGATATTTTTTTAGGGAGAAAAAATGAATTTAAGAATTTTTGTGAAAATTTTGAGCGAGTTAAAAAGGGAGAAAAAAAAATACCGAGAAGAAAAAAGAGGCGGGATATGTGAAGAAAAGGAAAAAAACTGGGAAGAAAAGCCTCCAATTAACCACCAAATATATGTGTATTGGGGGCAAATTCGTCCGATAAAAGTCCAACGGATACAATTCAAAAGGTCAAAGTGCCATGTCAGGACGGAATTTTCCAAGTTAGATAGAAAAGTAGCTTCCAATCATCCATAAAATATCATTCCCCTTTTTTTGGTGTGGGGGGGGGGGGGGGGTGTATTTTATGCGTTGAGTATAGTTTAGGTACGTAAAATGAAGTTTACCCATAGTAAATTAACGTGGCTTAATAATGTAGTTTAAATATCAAATATTTTTTCATGTGCAATATTTATACTAAGGCCCGTTTGGTTGGGGAGATTATCCATGATTAACTAAATAGTTGGGCTTTGTTGGATATTTGGCATCCCCAATAATTTGACGGGTCGACCCGAAAATACTATGTTATCGTGGCTTATCTTGCCTTTGAAGTATGTTTTTTTATTGGACCTTCCAAGGTTTAATAAAACAATTGGGTTTCATTAGATTATTTAGTCTTATCTTGGCAACCTAGGCTTCATAGTTTATTTTCTTAT